AGACATCATCAAAGCAGCAAGCCATGCTTTAAGATAATTCACCAAGCGCAAATACAGGCAAGGTGGCCAGCTTTAAAGCAACCTACTTTTCATAGTACAGTTTGGTCCTCTTAGTTAGCCATCCTATGTTTGGGTTGAATATCCTGTTTTTATACATTTTATGAATATTCTGAATTGTCCACTAATGTGAGTCAATACCACTGTAACCTTTTTTGCACCAGAGGAATTAATATTGTGCTCTGGTGTCCTTTCCGAGTAAGGTAGTCTAGATAAATCCTGTATTGTATTAGACCTTATCGGACAGTAATAATAACGCATTATTAGCCATATTTATTTTCCCTGACCTCCGCATATGCTGAAGTTAAACTTATATGATAGGGAAGTCATATCAAAATGATTAAATATTTTCTATCTATTTGAAAACCTTTATTATATACAGGTGGAAAGCAAAGTTGCTGCTGATAATAAAATCTCAACATGTCTTAGAGGTATGATAAAGTAGTATTTCAATTTGAATGTTAGGATGAATATTTGTTAATTGACTTTTAAGTTGTCTCTTTCTTTACACTCACCTTCTGAGAATAGATCCTGGCCCAAGACCGTGGCCGACCACCTCTCAATGACACCACGAATGTCGAAGTTGCCCTCATAGACATCAATGACTGTAGCCCTCTCTTCACTCAGACCGTCTACCACTTTACAGTGCCCGAGCAGCCCGGAGAGTTCGGAGGCGCTATGAAGAGCCAACCTTCCGACACTCCCACTGGCAGAGAAGACCCTGCCCATGTGCCCGGCCAAGGTCACAACCAAGCGCATGGCCTCAACGATGCTCCCATAGTCATCGCAGGAGGGAGCCAGACTGGTCATCTCTTGACTAACGTGGGAAAAGTGCACGCGTCCGACTGTGACATCGGAAATAATGCAAATGTTGTCTATCAGCTGTTTCCAGAATCTGCGCCCTTTAAGGTAACGTTTTATTCTTTTCATAGGGTATTCGCTTCGATGGCCTTTTAGATTAAATTGCATTAGTCAAGAAACTTAGAGCAAAATCTTTCAAGAATTTTCCGACAGCCCTTATCGAGCACCATGAACTATCGCACAAACTTGCTTTCAAGATAGTTGATCCTATGGCTTTTTATAAAG